AGGGCACTGGGGGACATATAAGCCTAGGGCTGGAGCTAGCAGAAAGACTTTCTCTCTCTCATAACTGCCAAGGAAAGTAGCCTCTGCCCAAGCAAGCTACCTGAGACTAGGTGCTGCCTACTTTGCTGCCTAGAAGAACAGTGAGGATCCAGGGGCCTAAGGTACCCAGGGCTAAGAGATGTGTTGTCCTAAGGGTGGAAGTTTTACTCTCTTAAAGACACAGAACATATTCTCCATTAGTGTTGTTATGTTGTAGCCCAGGGGCTTGCATTTGTATTATTGTTTAATATGGTGGACCAGGATGAGGCTATAAGGGGAGATTTGGAGGCCTCATTAGCACTCAGAGAAAAGGGCGCAGAGCCCAGTGACAGGCTTATAGAACCAGGCTCCAGAGAGAGGGAGGCACAGATCCGGGCACCAGAGAGGGTGGCGCAGAGCGAGAGATGTGGAGCCAGGTGCCAGGGATAGGCACGAAGAGCCAGACATCAGAGAAAGGTGCAGAGTCAGGTGCCAGGGAGAGAGGCACAGAAAGTCAGGCACCAGAGAACTTGGTGCCCAAGTGATGTAGAGACACAGGAGCTGGAGGGCTCTGCTCCAAGAGTGTGCATAGAGTTGATAACCATGGTGTAACATTTGCAAGGCATGGGACATGATAAGGAGAGGTCAGAGTCGCGTGTTAACGCCTAGACATTGGGACATTAAAAGGGAAGCTTCCTGCATTATTATAACTAGTATCTTAACAATAAGGCATGGCAGGTAAGACCAGGCAGGCTGCTCTAGACAGGTGGGCAGGCTGGTACTGCAACCAGGCCCTGAAAAGTGCCCCCTGTCACAAAGGGACATGACGGCAGTCTTCAAATATTTGAACGGCTGCCATGAAGAAGCGGGAGAGTACCATTTTCTCTTTTGCTGCAGAGAGGAGGATGCAGACCAGTGGCTTGAAGTTGCAGCAAAGTAAAATTAGATTAGATATCTGGAAAAACTTCTTCACGGTGAGAATAGTGAGGCAGTGAAATGGACTGCCTAGGGTAATCGTGAACTCTCTATCACTGGAGGTGTTCAAGTTGGACAGCCACTGGTCGGGGATGATCTAGGTATTGCTATGCCTATCTTCTACCATGAGTATTTCCCATGCTTCTGGACTTTACTGGTTGCTTCCTCTCCCCGCAGCCCCCGACCATTTTTCTTGTATATGCATCAGGGTATTTTTAAGCCTCCCTAGAGTCATTGGATGTTGGCTTACAGCTAAGCCTGGGGACTTCAACTGGGCTGCAGCAATTCTCCCGCTAGGAGTAAAGCCAGGGGCTCTTGGGTAAAGCATCTTGTCCCTATGCTCAGGGATAGACAGATGATCATATTTGGGGTCAGGAAGGAATTTCACCCCATAGTCAGACTGGTATGGTGTGGGGCAGGGGGCTGCCTTCCTCTGTAGTGGAAGCGTGGCCCTCAGCCTGGGACCTCTTGAGCATATATTGACAACATTTTTATAGAAGCAGGACATTGGCTGCCACGGTTCTCCTGCTTTACCTGTGGCAGGATAGGGTGTTATGCCTTGTGTTTTACTAACAGGCTATATGATGTGATTTTACAGGAGGGTTTGGATAGGGGAGATCCTGCCTCAGGCAGGGGGTTGGACCTAGAGGACCTCTGGAGGTCCCTTTCAGCCCTACTTCTCTTTGATTCTATGTTGAAAAGCTAATAATGCTAACACTGACTAGGTTTTACAAATTTAAAATTCCAGAGGAACTTTAAAATGATTTCAGTAAAATAATTTAATTTAAAATGATTTTATAATATAACATTCCCAGTCATTTAGGTTTTTAACTCTAATATTATAAGTTCTTATTGTCTTAGTACAGGCCATTCTCTAACTCATAAGAGAATGAGTTATCTTTTCCACTGACAGAGTGCCAAGAGGAAGCACTCAGCTTTACTCAGCTTTTTCTTAATCAAACATTTATGCAAAAACTTACCAAGCTTGGCAAATGCATTGCCTGGGTGCTATCCGCGCTACAATAGTTCTGACTGAACAAAGGTGCTTTTAACTTTTTACCATTTAAAGAGATGGGGAAAGGGGTATCAGACTTCTTGCCTAATTCTATGAATCATCCAAAGTTTACAAGCAACCTGATAGGGGAGAGGACACAAACCCTCAGTTCCCATTTTCCCCCACTTATATGACTGGTTGGGGAGGAAGACCCCAAGAGGTGACCTTCATTAACCTCTTCTCATCCTCAGGCCTCAGACAAGCATTTAAAAACATTGTGCTATAGTATATTTGTTAACTCAGAAAGGAAGACAGACAAATATTGACAGGTTTTTCAGTGGATGTGAAGCAATCTGACCCTCTGCTCTTTGTTCTTGTTTTTATTCTCTGCAAAAATTAGTCTTACTTAGTGTTTAAAATGACAAAATTTAGCTAAGATGTGTGAGCACATCTTAAAAGTCAATTTAACACTATTTTTTCACCTTTCCTTATCTCAAAAACCACTGAAAGAATTCTCCTCAAGCTACCACAAATATCCTCTCTTGGCAAGAGGCTAAGCACAAAAACTGTAGCTCCAGGGAACAGCCAGCTTCACTCCTACAGTAGCACCCCATGCCAGTATGGGGACTGAGGCTTGGCATTTTGCACTTCCCCTCTCCAGCAGATGTAGGATCAGTATCCCCCAGCATAGGCCACAGCTGTTATCTCTGCTTCTGTGAGGCTTTATAGGGGTACAGGAAAAGCTGGATAGGTCTACTCTGGCCTAGTCCCATATCTCCCCGCTCTCTTCTCTAGTCCGGCAACTTTCCCCTCCCTACTCCCGAGCCCAGGACTGTTGAGCAGAATGGATAGATGTGGCAGATCTGGCCTTATAGTTTCATCTAAGCTAATATCCTGTTTCAGAAATTAGCTAGTCCAGATGTTTCAGAGGCAGATGGAAGAAACTGTGCAGTAGGGAGCCTGGGACAATTTTCCCTCAGAGATAGTTTCATCCATTAGTTAAAGTTCGGATACACCCAGAAACTTCAAGTCTGCTTGGCTGTTTTAAACTTTTTTGTCATATCTGTGAATATTTTCTCTCTTAACTCATCCTCTTCTGAATCCAACTAATCTCTTGGCTCTTTACTGATATCTTTGTGGCAACACTATTTGTGGGGCGTTTTTCAACCCAAAAATATTCTACGCCTATGACCAGTATCTGGTTTGGTTTTGTCTTTTTGAACCTGCTTGAGGTTAAAACTAATTTCCTGGTATGAGATAGTTTAAAAAACCATGAGTTGTGAATAAGATAATGATCAAACAAACAATCAGACTCTAGAAACAAGTTCAGACACAGAACTAGGTCATCCAAAACTCAATCACAGAACGGTAGGTGCAGTCAGCATACAGTACAGCAGCTCAGAGCAACTAAACAGCCAAATAAGAGCACAATTCCAGACACTGCTGATTTCTAGATACACTATCTCCAGTGTAAAGCAGAGACCAGTTTTGATTTCCAATAATCCATGGTGACTTCAAGGTTAACATTTTAAGCATGGACACAGTAATTTGCTTCAGTTGTTCATACATTCTTCTTGTTAATTCACCATACCAGAATATGTTTGACACTGAGACACTAGGATAATCAACACTATATAGTTCCCATGCCCAGAATAGCTGTCAATGGCGTGTACAATATGGATGAAAATAAGATAGTTGTAATTGCAATTTCATGTTCTGATTTTTAAGAATGGGAAAAGTGCCCCAGCTGTCCTAGTGGCAACCTTCAACTCCAGCTAGTATTTGTACTGGAAAGCGGGCGTCCAGTGCGTCCTCTCCAAAAGATGTACAGAAGATCATCTCTCTAGCACAAAGATCTTTGAATGTATTAATGTGTGTCTCTGTCATTTTAACAGTGCAATTCAGTTCTGCATCAGAAAAATTCAATACAGAGTCATTATCCAGTCTAAAACTCAAGTATGGGGCAAGCCAGACTTGCTTTTGCCATGTCAGAAGCATAGCCATTGTGTTTCAGTTTCAGAAATACCATTGCCTGTCAGAATATGGAGAACTTTACCCTTTCATAGTTTCTGTTGATTACTTACAATTAGACCTAAGCAAAACGCAGAATGTCTGTCCAATGGCAAATATCAATATTATAAAGTCGAAGCAGCACAAACATTTAATTTTTAACAAACCATTCTATTTTTTTTTATTTCAACATGGCAATATGTTTGTTGTAGCTCACACAACCAGAGGGTTGATTCCACTGCTTCCCCTTTACCCTTGCTTCAATTCAGAGATAAGTTGCCTTACAGGAAAAACTACCCAGTGGCAGCAATCTCTTCCTTCCTAGGCATCTACACAGATTCTAGCAATAAACAAAGTTGGTTTTATTGTTATTTGCCATTGACAGTGTGTTCAGCTTTGCATGTATCGCATATAATGGATATTTTATTTTTATCTCAAAGACCTTAACATGTAAACATTTATTGGGCCACATTCTCAGCTCATGCAAGTCATCATAACACCATTGAAACCAGTGGAACTCTACTCAGGATCTGGTCCATTGTTTAAAATATTTTCTGGGGAAAAGAGCAAATGTAGACCCAACATACAAATGCAGATTTCTACCTAGTTCCACAGCACTAGCAAGACATAAAATGATCTGTAAGGTCCCTTCCAGATCTATGAAACTATGAAAGGCCTGGTCAGCAAATAGAGAAAATAAATATGTCAACCAGAAAAAACATACTCAGAGGTAGTATAGAGCCATGTCAGTATACATGTCTGTTTCTAAGGTGAACCCTTCAGACACCTGGGCTTTCCCCATCACCACCCCTGCACTCTGCAGTCTGTATAATCAAGCAAGCTTGTGAGCATAGTCATCATGATGACAACAGGTGCCACTCCCACAGCACCACTGGTGACAGCCCAGCTCTTTCTAAGTGTGTTGATTTCAGTGTTTTCCAGTGTGGCTGGAATCACATAGTCAAATGAGTGCACAGGTGCCCTGACATTAAATTTGACTCACTGAATTATTTAGCTCAATTCCCTCTGCAGATTCAGTTTGGTATTGTGTTCTCCTCTTCCTGGTTCAAAAGCTTGAGTAGGGATGCTGGGGGCTGTAATCCTGGTGATATAGCTTACCTAGAAGCAGCTAAACATTATAGTGTTAATGTGATTTTTAGTTTGCAAAATGTTTCAAGATCTCTTGATTCAATTCTAAGGCCAAGTGGGGCTTTCCAGCCTCCCATGATCTTGTTCTGTTATAGAATGTTTGTTATGTAGCCTGCCCTTCTTCCAGGATGGCTTTGTCCCTTCTGCTGTATTTTTCTATATACAGCTTTCCTATAGCAACACAAGACAGTGGTTGGGGAGTAGTAAGAGAGGTTAGGGAGTAGTAAGAGACAAGAGCAACATAAGCACAGAAAAAAAATCAGGATATCAAAATCTAATCCAGATAAATGACAAATTAAAATGTATTCCAATATTATATAACTGTAAAATTAAAGTATCTCCTCAGTTCTTATAATACATACCTTTGTGCATTTGTTGCACAGAATCAAGAGATTATTTTACAACGTTCAGAATTTAATTGCAGACTGCCAAATTTCCAGAATCTAAACTGGAGAGGTCTCATCTGATCAGACCTGTCTGATTTCCAGTAGCTTCCCTGTCTTCTG